GGAAGAATTAAAAGAGCAGGTTTGTGTCTATACTTGTTTTGTTGATGGTTTCGGTTGATATGGGCTTTTAATGCAATATTTTTTAAAGTAACTTTTCGTACAGTATCATTGTTGAGGATGTAATTAGTAGCTAGTAATTCATTTATTCTTTAGAGTAACTTATCCAACATTATTATTTTTTAAAATAATAATTTAATATAATTAAATTTGTATTATTATTTATACGAATTTATCAATTTTTTATTTATTTTTTACATTTTTAATCATATTAATATTAATTATTTTGAAAGTGAGCATGTTAAATTATTTAGGAAAACAAACTTGGGCAACACGATGTACAATGATTCAAAATGTACATTATTTAAATAATATGTTATGTCATAATATTTAATATCAATGTTAATAAATAACATTAATATGATCACATGATTATAATAATTAAATATTTTTTGTATTTTATTAATTAAATTCAATTAAATAATGTAATAATACAAAACAATTATTTATAAGTATTTATTCAAAACAAAACTGTAACAATATGTACAAAATGTATTGCATGCTTTTGTTTTTAATAAATACTTATAAATAATTGCTTTTATATTATTACCTTATTTAATTGAATTGAATTAATAAAATACATCTTATATTTAATTACTCTAATCATGTGGTCATAGTAATGTTATTTATTGATATTGATATTGATATTAAATATTATGACATAATACACTATTAAAATAATGTACATTCTGAATCATTGTAAAATATTAAAATATCCATATTAATGGAAGTCTAAGTGTGACTGCATTTTTAGAATAGCAGTTTCCTCATTCGAAAACTATGATTAAGTTTGTGTAAACTGATTATGTTTATACCACGGATCTGTTCAACTTGGTCTCTCGATCATCCGTAATAAAACGACCGAGTCAAATGGATTGCATGTTAATCAAGTGCTGGATTTATTCCATGACTTTCTAAGATCTAGTTTCTAAATGGAAACCTATCTTCTGACGGCTGCTTGGGCTGTTGGACAGGCAATCCATCAAATTCTCATCAATTATGTTTCATATTTATCATGACGGCGAGTCCAAATCTCGCCATTATTCGGTTCCGTCGCAGGAAAATGATGTTTCTGTGTACAAAGAGATCACTATGGATTATTTACATAATTAAATGTGGTTATTATTAGACATACACTCCGGACATAATGAAAATGTTTTGTTTTATGTACTTGGACTAATAAAGACATGTTTATGTCGTAAGCCTTGCCATGGGTTGTAAATCCAAGTTAAGATTATTAGGCCCAAACACAACAGACTGTTTGTGAGTCTAATAATCCTTCATTCATGCCACACTCCTTATCAAGACTGTTTTACGAAGGTCGTGATATGCAATTGCAGCAGCTGTAATCTTAATGACGTAATGCTGAATAATCTATTGCGATGTGCAGTAGAGCGATATGATAGTGGCATGACAGCTACAAGAATTGATTCAGTATGTCACTGGACTCAGAGTGCAGCTTTCCGTGCAACAACATCAATCATTCATGCCACATTAGCACTAGGAGACAGAGTTTGTCCCTCTGAGCCCGTAAGCATTGCTGTATTACTAAGACTTGGAAAGAAAGCACAGAATAGAGAAAGCGAAATATGTTTTGTTTGCAGGAGTCATGGAACTTCGGCTTGCTAGTTTAATGGAACATGCTAGCTGGAGATTACTGTAAACATTCCACCTCATTCCTTTGCCATGGCAACAGAGGTGCATCGCCATGGCGATTCCCTGACAACAGACAACAGTAAACAGCGATCATGAAACCCCTTGCAGAAGTATAATGACTGTATGCATCTTAAAATTAGGGAGAACCAGTTGCTTTTGGGCTCATTTTAGCCAATCATCATCAAAAATGGTACAAAAGCTGTCACTGGGATTGTACCCTTTAAAAAGGTTCCACTATTTACCATTTAGGTACTAATATGTGGACTTTTAGTACCAATATGCATCTGAGGATCTAATAGGCAATCTTTTGAAAAGGTACTGCCCCAGTGACGGCTTTTGTACTTTTTTTTTCCCCCCTAAAAGTTTATGGGCCTATATTCTCTGCCCAAAAGTCAATGTTTTGGGTTTTACAAACTTTGTTAAGGTTTGTACATACGTTCGTAAATACGCAAATACGAACTTTTATCTCAGAGTTCGATGTTCTTATTTGCATATTTATGTGGTAAATCACTCATAGCTCTCATTCACTAATAACAACAGATTGTTTCGTAGATGTTCTTCTCCTAAAAAAACTTGTTCTGAATCTCGTATCTGATGTCAATGATTTTGGAGTGTCCTAAATGAGCAAGCTCATGCCTGAGGCTGGTCATTTGCATAAGACATGCCAAAACCATCTCCATATAAGGACTTTTCCCTCATAGGCTTTCAGTACTCTCAGCAAAAAGATGACACTCTCTAAACACGTACAACTCAAGCTATTTCATCTTAACACCATATGATTTTTGCGTATGTGTGGTTTCAGTTGTTCCCATTTTAATTTTTTTTTTACTATTAGACAAAAGTTATTGGTAAATCATGATTTAATTGTAAAAACAGTCACCTAATCCCAGTGACTGGACAAGCGATGCAAAAACTTTTTTTTGGTTTTCATCTGTCGCTAATTACTCACTGTTGTATTCCAGCATGTCTTGGTGATATCACATGCTAAATATTGACATAGTATCGCTGAGAGAGTTAGTGTTGTTATAGGCCGTTATCAATTTTAGTCAAAGAGAAAGTGTGAACATGGTGGGATACATAATACTTTTCGGTGATTGTGATTCCTTGTATTGAAAAAATACAAGCGTGAGATTGATTAACCCAGAGTTAAAGTGGCATTAAAAGGCAATTAAGGGGCCATTCATACAACTAATTTCTGGGTTGAAAAGTGGAATTTAAAAAAAAAAAGTTAAACTTATTTCAACTTGACTGTCACAGTTTTTACAACGCAAAAGGCTCTGAAAAAGATAAGCTCAATGGTTCAAAACAACCATTTAGCTCATAGAAAAACAATACAAACGTAGTGGGAATGGAAGGGTTAAGCAAAGTGTGAAAAGCACATTTAGTTTGTATGTATTTCCTTTCCATTGTGGCTATCTTACACAATATAATGGGGTTATATAAGACTTTTTCATGACCGGGTCATTAGATTAGAGGAGGCTAACACCATGTTCCAAACAGGAAGCAATAAATCACTTCCCTTTCATGATAGTCTAGGTTTTTTTGTCCTAATAAGCCATCAATTTAGTTTTGAACTTTGCAGCATTACTTTAGGTAGTTCCGTCTGTAGTGAAATCCCATTGGTTGAAAGTCTTAATAGCAGTAAATTAAACATAAAATGTGTTCTGATTGGCTGTGAATGTGTGACCTAGTTAAAGTCGGCACGAAACAGAAGTTGCGATAGTCTTTTCTTCGGACAAGGAGTAAAAAATATGGGGCGGGGCTTGGTTTTGTCCAATGGGAATTGGATGGATGGTTACAGTGTGCTATTGCTGTGATGTCATGTGAGTGACAGGTTGCCCCGCCCTCGCGCCAGTAAACATGTCATCAGAGAAAATAATAGATGTTGCTGCATGTATGTAAAAATAATATATTGTTATTAATTTAAATAATTATTCCATGACAAACAATTGTCCATTTTGATTTCATGGTGACTTTAAGATCTTTTTTGACTCATAAGTTTGAGTGAATTTTCTTGTTAATTATTTTCATTCGGGCAGTCACCATAAAATATCCGTCCTGGATGTTATGGAGGAATAAACAGGAAGAAGCATGGAAAAAAGGAGGTCACTGGGTTTGTTGCATTAAAGGAAGGCAAGTCACTTCTTCCTGTTACTCATGTCTGGAAAGGTTATATTGGCTCTTTGGTGTCCTGCTCTGAGGAAAGAAACAGAAAGAGTCAAAGTCAAACTCCTTCAGGAGTCAAAGTGTGTTTGCATAACAATCCGTTCACACAGCGCAGCCTGCGAATGCCTCAGACAGCTGCGTCCTAAACACCAGTGACATCTGAATAAAGACCTTCAGTTGATTATGTCAACGCAGTTGCTGTTAAACCCACAAGCATGCGTGACAGATGTTAGCTCTGATTTACTGTACAATAAAACCACTTTCTTGAAGATCTCATTTATTTTAATGAGATGAATGAGAGTTTGTGGGTCACCTGCTACTAACCGACTTACTGGACGGACACATGGTACACACAGACACACTTAAGGAGGAAAGCTATTGCTAATCGGTTTACTCATGGTGAATGCAAAGATGAGTAAGTTCAGAAACACTGGAGCGGTTGTTTAAGACATCCTGAGGAAGGAGGGTGTGCGTTTCTAAAGCAGGGAAACAGGAAAAATGCAGGGAATTCTGCATAGATGACTGAACAGGGAGTCAGTCAAGACAGATAATGCTTGGGTGTGTGTGTCAGTGTCAGAAGGTCAGGATGACTAGACAGTTTTATATGTTTTGCATCGTGAAAAGAAATGAATGCTCCATTTAACTAATTTATGGTATGCAATTAGTCTTGTTTGCCCTTATAAAAAAATACTATAGTAACCACCATATTGTTGTAAGCTTATTATTCCCTCATTATTTTAGTGCATTAATAAAACATTGCCCAATAATAATAAAATCATATAGCTAGCTATTATTATGCATCTTTTTAAGTCATTTTCTTACCTTGAAATACCTTAAAGGCTTTGATTCAAATAATTATAATTAAAAAGCAATTGAAAATTGCTACAATTATTTCGCAGGTAAAAACAGGGACACTTGGGGTAAAACGGAGACACATGGTTTTCACCAAAGTGTAAACTATGACAAATGTGAAAGCAAACTATGATATTGCGAAAATGATGAACGAAATATAGCTCAACTCAGTCTGCATGACGTCACGCAGCTCTAAACGCCAAACAAACAGCGTAGTGGCAGCGAGCGCGTGAGGGGAGGGACTGACAAGCACTGGTAATCCTATTGTGTCTCGCGCAGCCGGTGCGCGAGGTGCTGGTGTGTGGAGCAGTGCGCGCGGCCGTTTGGAACATAAGTGGGATTTATTTCTGCAGTACTTTGAGTCCATACGTATGTAACAACTACCCGCACCTGGAAGCCTTAGGGTTAGTATGTATACTGAGGCGTTATTTTATAGTGTTGGCTTGTGTGGTGGTTTCATTTTGAAGCGCGTAAATGTTGCGTGTGTGATTTTACAATTTACAGAGAGTGTAAACAAGACTGGATTTATGTACTGAACTCGCAAATGTGGGCATTTGCATGTTAATATACATAGGGAGTGGGGGGATCTAATAGAACGCGTTTGTCTTTGCGTTTAAAAAATAGACGCTAGCCTCGAGACGCGTTTTAAAAGTTGCACTATTTTAACACTCTACCGCATGTTGCATGCATTACGGAAGTAATGTTAAACAAATTGATTTTTTCTTTCTTTTTTTCTTTTCTTTTTTTTTTTTTTGAGAATGGATTTGACCTAAAATAAAACAAGTGATGTGTATCAGTTTAACAATATTTTACTGTTAAATGTATGAATCGCCTCATTTATGACGACAATGACATTCCAATAATTACATTTGTTCAGGTTTTAATTAAAAAGTTAGTTAATTTTTGCTATTAGTTTGTTTATTGGAATTTTACATTATGTTAAGTTTTATGACATTTGTGTTATTTAGTTCATATTTACTGTAGTAAGGTTTTGTCATGTGGTGATGGTGTTTTTGTGGGTAACGCTGTGCTCTATTTTAGTATTATTATAGTATTATTGACCACAGTTGCTGGAAGCACCAATTTGGTGAACTTGGCTTTCCACATGTGTTATTATTAGCACAATTTACAGTAAGAAACTGATTTGATTAGCTCTTGTATATTACATCAGATGATGCATTGACATATACAGGTAAAACTGAAATATAGAGCAAACTATCTAAATGATGAAATTGTTGGTGCATACACTGCATCCACATAGAGGGTTAAAATGTAAAACTATCTTAAAAATGCAACACTTGTCTGCTTATCTGATTCATATACATCAACCATTAAAAGCAATCACATAGCCTATGTAATGCAAGAATGCATCCTGAGACTTTTAAGGGGCCTGTTATGTCTCTAGATGTATTATGGCATTATCTTGACAGATGTGAAAACTGAAGCATTTTTGTTTGTCTTTCTGGGATGTAAGGGTTTGTGCGTGTGATGGATTGTTTAATATGTAAGAATTCCATAGGAGCAGTGCATGCAGATAAACATACAAAGCACAAGAGGAATGTGCGTCTATAGATCATTCTTACGTTGTTTATTACACACACTGATGGTCCATGCATACATTACACTATGTAAACCTTCTCTCTACTCCTTAAACACACTGTCAAATAGCTCTCTATATAAAAATATATTACTTTATGTAGTGTATGTTTACTCAAGTGCTTTGTCCATGTATGAATTCAGTTAATAGTGCCAATAAACATCATAACCTTGGCATTTGCATATTAGTCGGTGGCATTATATATCCATAAAGAACTATATCCTCAAAATGATGTGCTTTGCAAGCATAACTCATTCTATAATTAATTTCTCAAGTGCTTTTCGACGTGTAAGCAATGCGTCTGGAAAAATAGGCACACCAAAAAGTATGCAGTGATGCATTTCATAAGCATAATGATGTTATTTTAAATGTAATTAGCTCACGCATTTGCATATTAGCCTTATTTATTGAAGATCGCTGGAGTAGATCTGTCAGCGGTGACATCGTGCTTGGCACATCATGGTTTGCTAACCGGCTCAGCCGTGCCCTGGTCATGAAGATGGGTGATTGTTGAACGCTCAGCGGGCACAAAGGGCTCTCGTTAGCCTCCTGAGTGTGTGAACTGGCACCGGGATCAATGGCAGCGGGCTTGTAAAAAGCTGGTTCATTATGAACCCTTGAGAACTTGTCACTCACCCGCTGCGAAGTAGAGAGGAGCCGAAAGATGGACGGCGATCTCAGATTTTTAAAGCTACTGTTTACAAAGGGGTGCTGATCCTAGGACAGCTTTTATGGGTCGCCTCGATGGGTCTATACTCATGGGAAAAGTCTAGTTTAAAGAGGCACATTAGGGTTAATGTATAGCCAGGTGATGGAGGGGAGGGGAGAAAGCATTTGGGTCATAGATCGTTGAGTTCATTTGGAGAGGAAGGTAATCTATTAGAGTATCTGGAGTAAGAGTGGGGTCATGGGTCTCTGGAGTGAACTAAAGTACTGGTTAGAGTAAAATGGTTGAAGAAAGAATCATGGGGTGGTTGAAGCAGTGCTGATGTTTGTTATAAGGAAATGCAGTATAGTTAGGCTGGTGGTATTTGTTTTCATGCCATTGTTTGGTACATTGGTTCCAGTTAAGGTGCTGTTCTAGATTAGAGAGTCTAATTTTTTGAATGGCTTCCAGTCCTTTGAACCAATCCAAATGCTTTTTTGTTGTTGTTGCTGTACTGCTGATTATACCTGTACCATTTTTTTCATTGTTTATCAATTTAATCCATTTTAAAGGGTTAGTTCACCCAAAATTGAAAATTCTGTCAGTATTTACTCACCCTCATGATGCTCCAAACCTCTATGTGTTTATTTGTTCTGCTGAACACAAAGGAAGATGTTTGGAAAAATGTTTTTATCAAACAGATATCATTCCCCATTGACTACCATAGTAGGAAAAAATACATACTATGGTAGTTAATGGGGAATGAGATCTGTTTGATTAAAACATTCTTCCAAATATCTTCCTTTGTGTTCAGCAGAACAAATAAACACATAGAGGTTTGGAACAACATGAGGGTGAGTAAATACTGACAGAATTTTCATTTTTGGGTGAACTAACCCTTTAATCCATGCAGTGAAAGTGAATGGGGATGGAAGCTGTTGATTTCCAAAAATATGAACCAAAGCACAATAAAAAATAGTTCAGACTATGGTGTAATACAAGTCTTCAAAAGCCATATGATTATGCGCTACACTATACTGTATTAATACTGTTATTGAGCAAGAATGCATTAAATGTATAAAGTCTTCTGTTTCAAATACATTCTGTTATTTTGAACTTTATGTACATCAAAGAATCCTGGAAAACATTTATAATTGTAAAAAAAAAAAAAAAAAAAATGTTTCTTGTTTAATTTTTACCAAATGAGCATATCAGAATAATTTCTGAAGGGTCATGTGACACTGACTGGAGTAGTAATGCTGAAAATTCAGCTTTGCGTCACAGGAATAAGTGTGATTCAAAATATATTAGAATAGAAAAATGTTATTTTAAATGGTAAAATTAGCCTATTTCAAAGGCCTCTGAGCATAACAGACTTCCTTCAAAAACATAAAAAAAAAATTAGTGTGTCTTTTTAACCTGTAATACCAATTGGAGCTAAAATTCAGGTCTTTAGTTTATAATCATGCCCTCTCTCTATTCTCTAACCATTGAATTGGAGAATGGTTTTAATGAACCAAATGTGAAGTATGAAATGTAATTTTAGACCCATGTAGCTCACCAGTGTCTGTCCTTTCATTTCTAGATGTTTGGCCTCACTGATAAAGCAGCCATGCATTGCAGCCAAGAGGAATGAGCTGGCGAGCACTTCTATACATTCATTCTCTCTTCAATGAAACAGGTGTCATGTTAATTGGGGAAGAGGCCTTGTTTACTGCTAGATAGACTCATTTACGATTCATTTAGCCTCCTCTTGGTCCTCTGACATTGTGTTCAGAGCTCTTGTGTTATATGTGCTCAAGTGGTAGGAAGATGAGACCGCAGCAGATGGTGTGTATAAACTGTGTTCTAGCCGGACCCCTGTCGAGTCTGCCCTTTGTTGCACGCAGGCATTCCTATGTGAGCGGGTCGGTGCATATGCCATGACACTTTAGTCTTGGCTTAGGTTGCCGTTATCTTACTCTCATTCATCTGCTGCCTCAGGCGGTGGGCTGCAGCTCAGCATTCCAGCTTTTGTCTCCTTCATTTCCATTTGTAAAACAGGTGTGGATGCCGAAACACTAGAGCAAGTTTATGAAATGTAAATGTGATGGATTGTGCTGACTTTTTGCATAGATTTTGCTTTGAATGGCTTTTGTGTTGTTTTAGTAAAAATGTTTCTTAATAGGTGACATGGTAGGTAAAACTATATGTCATGAAAGTCATTTACATGTCGATTATACATTTTTAAAGGTAGTGACAAAAGGTCCAAAATGTTGCAAAATTGCCTTGAAAAAGTAATATGTGGCAATTTTGGGGCAATAAAATTTTACTAAACTTGAAAACACAAAACTGAATATGGCCTTACCATGCTTGTTTCTTCTGAAAACCTGAACCTCAAATACTCTATTGCCATGTCACTTAGGTAAATGTAAGATAAAGATAAAATAGGCTGAGTTTGTAAATTTAGCCCCCTGTTTGGTTACCCAAATGAATTAAATAAAACTATATGCAAATATGACAAGCAAAAACAAATCTGACAAAAATAGGCCACAACACACTCGGTTGTGCACGGAAGCTATTTCCGAAGGATCAATCGCTCCGTTTCCAGGGGTGTTGTGCAGGAGTCGATGTCATTGTTCCTTCTGTGATTTCCATCTGCTTTGCTTCTCGACAGTCTATAAATACATTTTTAATGGTCGCCAAACTGATCTGGTTGCAGATGAAAATCAATAATCAAGACAGCGGCGACTCCCTGGAGAACTACACAAATGTATACAATGAATAATTTAGTCTTTCATTCAAATCATATCTCCATTAACTTAAAAATCTCCCTCAGCACACGGATCGGACATGTCAGACATGCTCTTAAAGAATGGTATAATCATCTCTCTCCATATGGATGAGGAACAAAACAAGATGTATCCGGCACTGATCAGATTTTATCTTGATTTTTCTTTCTTTCTGTCTGTCTTTTGTTCTTTCTCGTCACATTTCTTTATAGAGCTTAGTTTGAATTGTTTCAAAGCAGCTTTACAGTGATAACAGGAAAATAATGCAAAAAAGTTTGTTTTCAAAAGAAAATAGTGTTACAGTCCAGCTTACTGTAAGTAAGTTCAGTGTTGTTTCATTTTTGTTGTAAAAAAGTTATCAATTTAGTTGATGTTATTGTCCAGCTCAGTTCGGTTCTCATATAATGGTGTCAAAGCAGGCAGATCAATATTATTGTTGAATATTAAATTAAATGTTACATTTAATGTCCTTAACCTAGCAAGCCAAGCCAATGGCAACTGAAGTGGAAAAAAGCGACAGTGGCAAGGAACCAAAACTCCATCAGGTGGCACAATGGAGAAAAAAGTGATACTTTGTTAAATTAAGTTAAAAAAAAAATTTTTTTTTGCTGCTGTAATATAGAAATCTAGCAGTTTTAACCTTAAGTAAAAAGTCTTTATTTTTAAACACTTTCTATCAATGTTGTCATTTAAATTCCGTGGGCCGATGCATGCTGTTCTCAAAAACAAGACAGACACCTCATTCCCCAGCAGACTAAACATGTGACATCATCTCGCATCAACCGAGACAAACCCATGGTCAAAAGTCTCAGACTCAGCTCCCTTTCACAGATGTCAAACACACCTGAACATTTGTACATTATGGCTTTGAGTCAGGGGTTAATGACAGATCACAGAAGTGTCAGTGAGGTTTAGTACACAGCGGCATGTGACCTCTCATCTTTCATGACAGAGACCTAATTGGTTGTTGTCGTGGTTTGTTGAAAGAAACGTTTTGGGGGCTGAATGTGAAGAAAGTGAATGAGATTTACCTGGCTCTTGCAATTGAAATTGTGTTTATTGCTATATTTTAAAATTGTCAGTTTAAAAATGTCAAATTGTATATATATATATATTTTTTTTAATGGGGAAAAAAATGTTAACTTCTCAAATCAACAAACATCTGACCATTATTTCAATTTTCTCTCTTTAGGGGGCGACAGGGAGCGAATGACATCCAACCATGAGACGTACCTTCTTATGGCCAGCACGCAGAATGACATGGAGGATTGGGTGAAGACCATCCGCAGGGTGATATGGGCTCCGTTTGGAGGAGGTGAGCTTCTGCAACCAGTTTGTTAGAATAAATCATCATTGGTTAATGGTTATAAACAGGCTGGTCACAGTTTAACCATGCTTTACTTACACAGCTCAGCTTTGCTATATATTATACTAATGTATAATGAGAAAAATTGCGAACCAAAGAGGGCACCGATAGACAAGACAGAGAAGATTACTTTTGATATGAAACAAATTCTCAGCTCTCAGATTCTGTCAATTTTATTATGATATTCAAACAATAAATTGGCAACCGTTTTGGCGTTTTTAAATGTGACAGATCACTGTAGCGCCTGACTCTTTAACTGATCATCTCTTTACTAACTGACCTCTCTTTACTAGCCTACAAGTTAATAGTAAATAAACACAACTGATCAACAGCTATGTAGAAAGATACAGTAACGTTACAACTTACCAAAACGTATATGCCTCATTCATAATATCGACCAATCAGTGTTTTTCAACTGTGGAAAGAGGTCAATAATATAGCTGGAGTAGACTACATGTCTCATAACGTTACATTTATCTCAGGAAAGCCATTCAATGACCATAGAAAATTGTATTTTATATTATATTTAGTATTACTATAAATTGGTATTTTGCTAAATATGTACACTATATTACATATTTATTATATTTTTCACTTATACACTCTAAAAAATACTGGGTTGTTTTAACCCAATTTTGGGTCAAATATGGACAAACCCAGCCATTGGGTTACATTTTTAAATTACATTTTAACCCAATGTTTGAGTTTGTCCATATAATTTGACCCAAAATTGGGTTAAAACAACCCAACATTTTTTAGAGTGTAGCATTAAAATATTATAAAGTTGTTATTGTAATAAAAATCGCATTAGGCCTATATTTAATTTGAGTGGTTATTTTGGACCTTTAATAATACCAGCTGATGTTTACCACATTAGGTGAGATTTTATTTCTTGAGAAAAATTAACATGTATCTAGTATCTACTGTACCACTTCTATAGACAACTTCTATAGAAATTGAATCAAGATTGGAATAAAACCACAAGAATTAAATTGAAATAGGAAAATTTGTATCAAGCAATAATAAAACCAGTAGCCTATACCAATTATTGCACCATACTGTCACTAAACTTAATACAATTATGTTTAGTTAGGCTACCAAATGTTTTAATAATCATAATAGCTTACACTTATTGTTTGTGATGCAAGTTTTTTACACATTTTTGCTATTTTCATGACAACTTTCAATATTGTAATGCAAAACAAATATATAAAAAAGATTATTTTTTAGTGTAAAGTATTTAGACAAACATTTTTTTTTTTTTTTTTTTGCTTTAATACATAAATGTAGCAGTGTTTTAAAGAACCTAAATTAAGATGTCCTCATTCATTCATTCATTCATTTTGACTTTTATTCTATTTTATTTCAGTCATTGTCTAAAACTCTATTGAACTTTTTAAAATGATTACGTTTTAGCAATTGATTTGGAGTAGAAACAATTATATCATTAGAAGCTTTATGATTTTCTGTAGTTTTTACTCAAGTTGTATCTCTGGGTCAAGGTTGGAACAGTTTGCATGTATTTAAAGACTCAATATAGATTTCATTTATAGAAAAAAATGCCATTAGGTCTTTGAAATAGTTGTCAGTTTAATTGACTCGATGTGAGTGGTGTAATTGCTGTTGGGTTATCAATGTCTCTGTAAGAGTGCGGTAATGGGTGATCATGTTCATTGCTGTGTGGGTGTGTTTAAATGTGTGCTATTTTTTTCAATCTCGCATACAGCACCATGATTAGACTGCCCACTTTCCAATTTCGGCTTAAAAGGTGTGTTCACCAGACTGCAAGAATGGCTCATCCGTCTGAATGATCGCACTCTGTGTGGGCAGAAATGTGACCGGCCTCAGTGTTGAGAGTACCAGACTGACCAGACAGACTGCAGACTGACAGCATTGAACTTTTACAACTTGTCCAAAAATATTTGTTTAATTACTCAAAAGTTCAGTTATTTGTAATACGTGGGGCCACACTGTGCTTTTGTTTTTTTGTGACCGTTTTGTAATCTCTTTAATCTCCCAGTTTGTTTAAACCTATATTTCTATGTGAACTCAATTGGTTCATTGGACTTTGACAAATGGAGACTGTTACGATTTTGGTGGCATTTCTGTGCACAGAGCCGTTCAAATCTCATAGCCAAAATAATTAAGATTCCTTAGGAATGCATTTAGTGTTTACATTTGTAGTTGTGAAAGCGACATTCCCTCCCAAAGTCAGTTGATTTACCTGATAGGTCAAAGGTCACTGAGTCAAACAGTGTACAATATCCCACTGTAGGGGTTCTTTGGGGTTTCACGACCACCCAGTTGCAGTGCGTGTGTTCTAGTCTCTTCTCCTTGACCTTTGACATCTCCGTCTCAGATTTGATTTGAGCATGTGTGCGCAGCTGCAACAAGTCGATAATTCATTAGATCGCGGACGTTGTTTATAATCATTATCAGATGTAATTAAGTTTTGACTTGTTAAATGTTATTTGGCGTTTGCAGTGTGATTACCCTTCTGTCAAAGACTTTATTGGCTCTCAGTAGTGACTTTTGTAGTTAATGGAGTATTGACTCTCTGAGGATGACACTTCCAATGGGATTCAAGAGAGATCACATATTAGTTTACTAAACAAAGAACTTTGCCAACCTACCTGTGACATATTAGACCCATAATGCATGCTGTATGCTATACAAAATAAAAAAAAATGCCAAACTATCACCTTATCAGAACATCCAGTGTCAAGTGTCATTTCATAATAAAGGTTAAAGTCCCCCTGTTGTCAATAATTGTATCCCTTTAAAACTAATCTTTGATCACCAAAATTACATTTTAAAAGTTTTTTTCATGCTTTAAAATAGCTTAAACGTAACCCTACGCCCTTGCCTCATTTAGTATATACGGTTCTATGAGTATGCAAATTAGCCCCGCCTCCACTTACTCACACCAGCTCAGAGGTAGTTTGTGACGTCAGAAGCACCAGCAATTTCAAGCCGTGTTTTGTTGAGTCTGTCTTTGGTTCACTGCAGTTTTAAGGAGAAAATACTCAGCAATGGTGTTGACTTATGAATTTACACATGGTTTGTCTTAAAGCGTATTAAAAACACCACATATAAACAATATTAAAAACTTGATTTTCACCACAGGGGAAATTTTGTAGTTAGGTATGTAAATCAGAATTTTAAGCCAATGAGATTTTGTTGTGGGTGGAGCTACCCAGCATGATGTGATAAAAATTGAAAACATTATTGGTAATGTTGCGACTGGTTAGAACTAAAACTAATTGCGTCATCACTGGATAAGACACATGCAGTCCTGGGTCTCAATTAAGCAATTTGGTCAGTGTGTAAAGTTGAAATAAAATATTACAAATATTAGAATGTGAAGAAGAAGCTATGTATGAATATTAAAATAACCTTATAACAAAAGGCAAAAGCACATAAAAATACTAAAAGTTCAAATCAAATTTAAAGGAAAGTCATTATTTTCTCATAATCTCCTACCATTTTATATTAAAGATGAATTTGTTAAATAAAAAGATATCAAGAGCTCATTTAAATGCTCATTTTACTGTACTCGTTATAGGGTGTGAGATGTTAAACCTGCCCTTAAGGGTCAGACAGAGAATATTCATTCAATGCATGTTTTTATTCTTCATTCAGGAAGATCAAAGAAACAATCAGTCTGTGTTTAATCTTCCGCCAATGAACTGGAAGACCTTTTAGGCTGAGAGCGATTTGCCCACAGCCATTGTGGAGCACTGTTGTTCAAACGTCTACCAAAAAACACGGCGGTGTGAACAGCAGGAATGAGGGCCGAAGGCTGGGAACAGCCACAACAGACGATTACACAGCTAAGAGCTTAGCAACTTTTTTTTAAATACTAACCTATACGGGGTGGAGTGGAGGGGGGTTGTTTTGGCCTGTCGTACTCGAGTACAGGTCAGGTCTGAGCTTTGGATGGATGGAGTGGTTCGTCTCCTCCCCTTTGAATCCAAACCTTCTTAAAGGAGGGAAAGCACTCTACTTCCAGAAATACAGGAGAGGGGAACAGTTAAAATACAAGGAATGGCTTCAGGGCAATCTGACCAATCTGTGAACGAAAAGAAGACAAGATGAGACGAAGAGAGGGGATCATAGGAGTGGAGGGGAGACTGAAGAAACTGCAAGAGAAGAGCTCAAAGGGTGTGAAACCGTAACGAGGGATAAAAAGAGATGAGAAAAGACCATCAAAAAAAAAGAAGGGACATCCTCAAAGGAATGAGATGAGACAGGAAGACCTAAAAGGTGCAAGAGCGTAATGAGAGGAGAAGATAGTTTGCAGAGAGAGCCGGTCTGCCAGCTTTCATATTTGATTTTCTGTAGGATAAGAGTCGCAGAGCAGCACAAAGAGCCCTGTGTGTGTGGATACATGAGGTCAGCAGAAAAGCCCTGGACAGCTTGAAGATGGCATGAAGTTCAGTGTGTGTGTGTGTGTACAGTGCTGATAATTGCCTATTGCTATTGTGAAGTGAAAGACAACTTAACCCAAATGTGATATTAAAGCCCTGAGCCGAGGATTCACAAACAGAGTGCTTACGGGAGATCCAGTCATGAGAAACCGAGGTGAAAGCCAGGAGAACTCACCGAAGGGAGAGAAAATCCATCAGGAGATTACCTTTGGCTGGAAGCACAAGTCTGAATCATCAAACTCTTTTCATGGGAAACTAGAAACTCGTGCAAGAGCTTCTGCATAAATCATTAAGAGTTGAAGCCAAGTCAATGTCTGCATTCAGTTTATTTACTTTTGTTCCTACTGTGTTATAGGCAGATCACTATCTCACACCTGTGTGGTCACCGTAATAACATCGCTTGTCCAGAGATGGATCGTAGGAAATTTCTGAGTTTATTCATCCAGAAAGGATCTTTGTACAGTAGTAAAAGGAACTATACAAAGCAAGTCATTTTTCTTTCAGCATTTTGAGTTCCAATTGCGGTTCAAGTGTGGATATTCTCAAAGTTACAATGTTTTTTTCCCAAAATTTTGGTTGAAGGAGCCTCTTCTAGCCGGGACTTAACGTTTTGGATGATATTCTTGTGCCATTGTGTTTTTGTATGGATATAGTGTGACTGCAGGCCACATCGGACTTATTGTTGAAGATGCTCGGAGGAAGACGGTTCGAATGCACTTTCTTGCATCCGTTATTTTACTATAGTTCCATGCACAGAAGTGTCTTCCGTAAAATTAAAAGTTGCGTCAGCTTCAAACATGGTGAGTCAGACATTCTTTTGAATGTGAAAGAAAAGAAAATGCAAAACATTGTTTCCTCCATCAGCTAAGCCAGGAAAGGGCAGTAAATCCCTTCCTGTCTTCTTGGTTTAGTTGAATTTGTACCATCTTGTACCCTCGTCTGAGTCCGGAGACCCGGAAAGCGCCACCGATCCAAGGCTTCCAGGAAGTCTGGCCTAATCCTTGCTCATATGCATGCCACATGTGATTCACGCTTGTTTTCAGCCTGACTGATGCAGACAAAAGAACAGGACAGGAGAGGAAGCGTGCGATTTTCTTCTCAGAGGGCATGACATGAAAGAATGGCTTAAATCAGGCTTCTTTAGCAGCTCTCTCCTCACTGTTACGGGGCTTTTTTTGTCTCTGATACAGGAGTACAGGGATCACTTGAGTTGAAACTCATTTTTAGAGCTCTAAAACATCTGTCAAATAGCTCAAGACTCATTTTCCATAATAATATAATACAATAGCACACTAACTGAAATTATTCACATTTACTTTAGGCCTGTAAATTTAAAGCATTATTAAGCGAAAATAAATAAAGATTCAAAATTGTTAAATATTAAATAAAGAAAATGCAGAGCATTCATTTATTTTTACTGAAACTTTGCAACGTCTTTTAAAGGGGTCATGAACTGGCTTTTTAAATTGTATTATATTGTTGTCTGAGGTCAACGAATGTATGACGTTCGCTTGGTTTCTACATTCAAAAACATCAAAATGAATAAGTAATAGGCTATTTTCTACCATAGTTTTGAGCCTCAAATACACTTGGTTTTTATGGGCGTCTTCCACTGAAGACTTGGAAGTAAACGTCCACTGCTGTGAGTGGATAACAGTTTTGCATATTATAATGAGTTTCAACTCACCTCGTCGATGCACGTGGGGGAAATGGTTTAGAAAACTTCCAATGTTGTAAAATGGCAACCGGAATGATTCGCCCATACGTGTTCGACCCAGAGTCCGAACAGACGGACAATGTTTTACCTCATCAGCTGGAACGTCATTAAAAATAAAGTTTAAAGGGTAACTAAACCCCTGGTCAGAGCCTGACTCCACCCACTGGCAATATTTGAAAATGCTGAAAAAGTGGCCTGACCCCAGCGGAGATAGAGGGGACGAAATAGATGCTAAAACACTCTATCCTGGTCGTTTTTAATACTCAAAATTCCAATTCCCGACTCCCTACAGTGGTTTTGAAGACACAAGATGGTTTTTATATTGCCAAGGGCGTAGCTCGCGTGGTGAGCTGAAACCTGCGTACGTCATGAAGTGCGGAACATCCAATAGGAAAATTCAACTGCAGTAGCCACCGTTGAACCTGAAGAGGGCAGCACTAAGACGTTTTTACACCATATATTGTAGAAATAGAACACTTTATAAACAAATGCCAAAAAAGTTACTCGAAGCAATGAATGGTATTAATAAAGATCCATTCTTACAGATCATTAACTAAAAAAAGTTGGTTTAGTGTTTAGTTACTCTTTAACCGTGCAGTTCAATTGGAATCCAGAGGAAGCAGCGACTGTCTTCTTCCACAACCAGGCACTGCACACTATTTTGTATTGCTCTGTAGATCGATCTGGTTTGTCATCTCGAGGTAGGCCTATGTTATTTAGCTATGCGTGTAATGCATGAATCGGTGGGCTGGGCTAAACCTGCCGTGTTGAAGTAGGTGTTGATCTTCTTCTGCGGGGGTGGTGTTTTATCCTCTTTGTCGTCATAGTTTTCGTCGTAGTTTTATATATATATATATATGATATGTATGTATTTACAAAGAAAAAAGAAAATAAATCAGCAGGGGCGTGTCAAGGTTATTGTGTAAAGTAAGCAGGATTTTCCTATATGTTATCTTGTTTTTCAGAATTTTTCTTTATGTTGGCTTGTGTTTCAGGAATCTTTGGTCAGAAGTTGGAAGAGACGGTTCGATACGAACGACGTTATGGCAACAAAATGGCTCCCATGCTGGTGGAGCAGTGCGTGGACTTCATCCGCTGCTGGGGTCTACGAGAGGAAGGGCTCTTCCGTTTGCCTGGACAAGCCAACCTCGTCAAAGAGCTTCAGGATGCTTTCGACTGTGGAGAGAAGCCGTCTTTCGACTGGTACTTGCTCTAAATACACTTATAGTCTCTGTATGAATTATTTCAAAAGGTGGTTTTCACAGTGATGCCATAAACAACCATTTTTGGTCCCTCAAAGAACCTTTCAGTGATCAGTTCTTAAAAGACTTGGACTTATTTTACTTAGAATGAAGAGCATTTTGAATCTTAATTCCATTGTGCAAAATAAAGGTTGGATGCTTTGGATAAAACATCTGCTAAATGCATACGTGGTGACCTGCAACATCTTGCTCTTTTCAAATACCATAGCATTTAAATAATGCCTGAATTGAGTCCTAATTAAAGGCTTTACGAAAGGTTTTAGTTCGCTCTGGCTCCAGTGACAAATCAAAGTGAAAAGACATAATGACAGCTCTGGCACCTATAATCAATATACTTTCACTTCATATTAAAACCCATTAGTGTGCCATCTTTTTGCTTCATGCTTGATCAAATTGATTTGCTTTCTTTTCACATGTCTGCCATTACAATTTAGTAGAACCTAATCTGGAATATTTATCCACACATTTGCATTCATGAATTAGCAAGACCAAATCTTCCTTTTTAACAACACAAGGTTTTTATTTAGTCTTTTTATTCCTTTTACATGACGTTCCCCAAATATTAGACTGAAAGTGCAGTATTTTGTCCATTTTAATGCAATGTCTCCTCATTACATTACATTAAAATGTAGACTTGGACACTTTCTCTTTCGGGAAGAGCTTTCTCTGTACTTCCGTCCGTGATGCCAAACGCTGCAGATAACACCAGCAGCTGTTTTCCAGTTGATTTACAGTCTGTGATTTTAGAGATGCCTTGTCAGAGCTCCACACAGGAAGAGACACCAGGAAAAGCACACTGCATATTTAACACCGTTCATATTTAGATCTTGGTGTCTGAAGCAAAGGTGATAATTATAAAGGGTCATTGCTCAGAAAATACATTTGGCGGTTACATTATACATGTGCCGGCTATTCCTGTACAGCCCACCCAGGAAGTGACAATAAATCCAGCATGTTACGGCGTCACCACAAGCCTAGGTCCTCTACGGGGCTGTAACATGGCCAATCAGTGACGGGCTTGTACTCGCTTTGATTTAGTACCAGCTTCCTGTTACTTATCATTAGATATACTGGGATACCCACTCAGGGATGTCCTCATTGCTCTCTATAGGGTGCATTCACACTTGTAGTTCAGTTCTCTTGGTTCTTTTGGTCCAGACCAAAAAAGGGAATGATACATTTAGTCCTGGTTAGCTTGGCGCTCACACTGTCATTTATAACACCGAACCTAAAAATACAAAACAAAACAAGTTCATTTGTAAGCGAAACAAGACCCACATTTTCATGGGTCCGGGTGAACCACACTATTAGAGCAATTGCACCAAAGTTTATTTTAATCAAAGTGTGAACACACCATTAAAGTGTCCTACACTGTTTAACATGCTTTATCTCTTCTTTAATCAACACTTTCTCTGCAGTAACACAGATGTTCACACCGTGGCATCCTTGTTGAAGCTGTACTTGAGAGAGCTGCCTGAGCCGGTCATCCCGTTCTGTAAATATGAAGAGTTTCTGGCCTGCACCAAACTCCTCAGCAAAGACCAGGATGAAGTGAGTCACCTCGTAACACATTTAGTCAAAAAATGAAGGCATGAATGGTTGACCATCACATGAGGTAACATATCTCAGTACTCAAAAGTTGGATTAAGTTTGATTGAGTGTCATTAAGGATGCAGGTTGCCAGATACTATACTGTATATGCTATTTTTTTTTTTTGATATTGTTGAAAAAAGTCTCTTGATCACTAAGGTTGGATTTATTTCATCAAAAATAGTGAAAATTGTTATTTTGTGAAATATTATTACATTTTAAAATAATTTATGTAATTTATTCCTGTGATGCAAAGCTGAATTTTCAGCATCATTACTCCAGTCTTCACTTCTGTCACGTTATACTTCAGAAATCATTCTAATATGCTGATTTGCTTCTCAAAAATCATTTTAATTATTATCATGAATACAGTTGTGCTGATTAATATATATGCGGAAACAGTTTAGTATTCTTAAAGGAAGAAGAAAACAAGAACGTTCAAAAGAACATCATTTAGGCCTAGTTAAAATAATATTTTGTAATATTGTCACTTTTGGTCAGTTTAATGCATCCTTGCTAAATAAAAGTTTTAATTTCTCGCAAAAAAACAAAACAAAAACTTTAACTTTTAACTTTAACTTTCTCAGCAAGTGTACATCAAATTGTTGGAAACATTAAGAATGCAATGTGTGTATGCATTGTGTTGTGAATTTAATTTAGCCACATTTTTGGACTTGTGTTTTGTTCACGTTTATGTCACTCCTTACTGTTTTAATAGGCATTTTTTTTGTTTGTCTTGCTTACTTGTTATACTATTGGATCAACTTGGGTAAATTAAAATGAGGCAAATTATGCTTAAACTAAGGGATCTTTCAGTTGTTTGTCATTTAGCGTTTTATAACACTTGGTTTAACAGACTGAATAAAAGTAAAAGCTGTTATCTTTAATCGTAATGCATCTACTTTATACTGAAGGTATTGTTGACCTCTTTGGTGCCATTCTTCTTGCTATTTCTCATTTCTGTTTGAGTTTGGTTCCCACCAGCAGGCTGAGAGAATGGCATATGACTTATCACATTATTCTCCCGCAGTCGTCTTTCATCTTGCGTACATCCATTCCTTATTTTCGCTGAGTCTGTAGAAGAAAGGGTTTGACCCTGAGGAACGGAAAAAGCCTCATTCTGACTTTAAAGTTCAACTTTTACCTTGCGTAAATCACAAGTGCCTCCAGCTAGAGGCTTTTCAGGATAGAATCAAAGTGCACAATGGGGTTTTGCCAGATTGAATTTAATTTACTGGCCCAAGGTTGTGAACGAGATTCGTACCTGTGAGAATCCCTCGAGTGCGGAGCACACAAAGAATCGTGGTACGATATCAAATGAAGCTGAAGGCTGTACTGGATCCATTTGTTTTTGAGAAATGGCTTTCTCATGTGGTGCAACAAAGTCATTTTCCTCAGAGGGAGCCTGCAGGGAAAATACATATCAACCATGATAAAAAACAGATCTGGGATGGAGCGCATCATTAAATCTAGACAGTCATCAATTGTTAAATTCATTGACCCATGCCTAGACGAATAGCACAGTTATAACAAAATAAATTGCAATATGAATATTTAAAGTCAATTAGGAAGAGTTTTAAAAGGAATGGGACTGATTAAAATGTCTTTTGATTTAGTAATGATGTATATTAGTCCAGATCATTTCAAATTGAATTACAGAAGTCGGTTCAAACAAATGCATATTTTTCCTTATTTATATATATATATTGTTTTGTCTTTATACAGGGAATGAAGGAATTAAAAGGTCAAGTAGAAGGTCTACCTCTGGTGAACTACAATCTGCTTAAATACATATGCAAGTAAGTGATTTGTTTTATTTTATTCCTTTGTGGCTCATCACAATGTGGATTAATGTTGTGAATTTTTCAGTTTACATGATTCTGCAGGTTACATTGTTATATATATACAGGGGCGCAACTACCCAGTTTCAGAGGGGTATGCAGCAACAATTTTAGCCCCCCCCCCCAAAAAAAAAAAAATTTAAATAAATGTAATGTAAGTGTGCTATGTAATAAGTGAGTAGGAAGAAATGAGATCTAACAGAAAAAAATAAGTGCAAAATTGTCGTAAATAACACAATTAAACTACAGCTACTCCACCTTGATGAACCCCCCCCTAAGAAAACGATAAGCTCCATTGTAACAGCAATAGCAGTGTTTCTCACAGGATTTTAGGTAAAACTGTGGTAGGTGGACCTCTGTTTCTCTAGGGGGGTTCGGGAAAATTTTGTGTTCTGTAATGTTAAATTCAGCAGTCTGGTGCACTTTGAGAGTTCAAAATTAAAAGCTCCAACCCATATTCAGGGTGCAAATTAAACAGAGAAAAATTTGAACCTCTTTTAGTTAGTGTCTGTCTACATTACACTACTACATAGTTATAATATTAATCCCATGATAGTAATTGCCATAAAGGCTATTGTAAAACAAATGCACGGAAAAATAAAGAAAACTTTCATAATTAGTTTTGCACTAATTTCTATACTTGAAAGATACTTGCGCATAATGACATATTTCATTGGCCAGTGTGTCAGAAAAAAAAACTAAAGCTGACTTTTTTGACCAATGCATTACACCAGCACAGCGCCGCCAATTAAGCAAAAAACAAAACAAAAACAAACAACAAACAAACAAATGGGCCGCCGATGTATGAGTTTTGTGGGCCGTTAAGACAAATAAATTAAAAAAGGATGAAATGTATTGGCTGAAAAGCACGTCGGCCCAGCGGGAATCTCCCGGTAGTCCCGATGGCCACCGAGATATAGATAGCCTATGCCGGGATGTCACATTTTAAATCCTACCTGTTGGCTTTCAGCAATGCATGCAGTTATTTAGCTGCTGTCGCATCAATTGACATGCCATCTCCTTTTCTCTCTTTCTTTTTCTATTTTTAGCCCCACAGCATTTTGTTTTATCCATCTTTTTCGACGACAACTCACTACTTGTACCTGCTCGCTCAGCGCTCACGGCGCCCCCGCCCGCTCGCGATATTACCCGCCCCCCTTCTCCATGAGGGCGCTTACTCTAGCCTGGCTGTTAGTCCTCTAAAATTTTATATAACATTGAAGGAATGCAGAAATGATTTAGAAACGGACAACAGCAGCTACATATAGAAATACAATATAGCCTATATATAATTTTTTTTTTTTTTTTTTTTTCATCGCTTTGGCGCGCCCCTATTCGCCGCATATAGCGCATACCCACTTTTTGCGCCACTGTATATATATATGTATGTTTCTGACCACATATTAAGAATTTGTTCCTTGTTTTGGGATTTGGGCATGCTAGTACAGTAGTACAGTTTTGACTGACCAGAAACAAAGGGAACAAATTATTACAGTGTGGATTATTAACTTGTGGACACAATGTATATATTTTTCCACGCCATATGCTGGGTTCCGTATAAAATATAATCTTGTTTTTTGTGTGTTTGCCACGATCAAGTTTCATCCAATAAACCAACCAACAAATAAGTAAATATTACTACTTGGCTATTTTATATTAGGTTAAATTGTGTGTATTGTATATATATATATATATATATATATATATATATAATATTTATATATTTATATGTATCATGATATAAAATTTGGGTCATAATGCTCACCACTTCACTTTCAGTTACTCTTACATTTTTATATGTTTACATATTTATTTATTTTTATGTCTTTTTTTATACATTCAGATTTGTACATTCAGTTGCAGAAATCTCAGTTGTAAAGTTAAGACCTTTCTTTGGATTTAGGTTTCTGGATGAAGTTCAGTCTTACTCAGGTGTGAATAAAATGAGCGTACAAAATCTGGCTACGGTCTTCGGGCCAAATATTCTGAGGCCAAAAGTTGAGGACCCGGTGACTATAATGGAAGGTAGGTCTTTTTGTCCTTATCTCTCACTCCAGACAGCTCTAAATCGTGATTATTTTAGTGTTTGAGCAATCTGTTTGTCATGTGTTCAGGCACAGTACTGGTCCAGCAGTTGATGGCCGTTCTGATTGGCCGGCATGATGTTCTTTTCCCACCCGAAGAGGACCAGACGTCCACCCTGGAACTGGTTAATAATAACAACAATGAGACACAGAAACGGCCTACAAATGGTCAGCTACAAAACAAAGAGAACAATAACATCAGTGGGGTGCGACAATGCACCTGGGACGCACCCGAATCACCCACCCGGGCTCCTCTGGACAATGGCTCTCCCCGCTCGGGCAGCCCGCGTAACGGTTTTACCGGACAGCGATTCGAGGTGACCCGCAGTCCGCCACTGGCAGTAAAAAAGAACCCGGCTTTCAGCAAAGGCAGCGGGATTGTCACTAACGGATCGTTCAGCTCGTCGTCATCGTCCTCATGCGACGCCAATCAAGAAAAGAGTCAGACTCTACCTATTATCGGCACTCTGCATGCCCGTCGGACGGGTGCGATAAAGGGCTCGGGCACTAAAATGGGCGTTCAGAATGGTGTCGTTCGAATGGGCATATCCAGCACTGACGTGACGATTGGGACTCTGAATGGGCGGAATGGACTCTGGGTGCCCAATGGTCACGTTACAATGCGTGAGGTTAAAAGTCGAGACGCCGAGCACCAGCAGAACCGCCTGTCCACATACGACAACGTCCACATCCATCAGCAGCAGACGACACAGCCCAGTCTGAGCAGCAGCTGTGAGGACAAACAGAGCGTGGATAGCGCCACATGGTCCACCTCGTCTTGCGAGATCTCGCTCCCGGAAAACTCAACCTCCTGCCGCTCCTCTACGACCACGTGCCCAGAGCAGGACTTCTTCGGCAACAACTTCGAGGACCCTTTGTTGGACGGGCCAGCACAGGAGGATAACATACTGGTGGCGAACGAAAAGGAGCAGCGGACCAGTGTTGGAGGAGGCCGGGGAAGCAGAGGAACCAGCAGCAGCGATAACAGTGAAACGTTTGCCATCACAAATGGCCCGGCCAACCACAGTGCACTACACAGCCTGGTGGCCAGCCTCAAACAGGAAATGCTCAAGCAGAAGAATGAATACGAAGCCAGGATCAAGAGGTGAGAGCCACGTTTAAAACTAGAGAGCCATGTTGTGAGAGACATGTCAGGACTTAAAAGTGCGTTTGTCCTGGTCTTTGGTTGGAGAGTACACAAATAAGAGATGTTTTTCACAGTTTTAATGGAATTGAAAATGTATAGAAATGAAAGTCTGATTTATTTTTTTCACCCTGGTTGTTTCCAACTTGCATGCCTCTCTTTATTTTGTGGATCAGTGTCAGTGATGAGAGATGCTGCAACAAATACATCTACTACATTTTTTTGTGTGATCTATAGAAGAAAACCCCACAAAAATGGGAAAACACCAATATTCACCAAAAAACAAAACGGTAACACTTTACAATAAGGTTCTTTAGTTACTACATTAGTTAACATTACCTAAGAATGAACAGTACTTCTACAGCATTTGTTAGTCTTTGTTAATGTTAATTTCAACATTTACTAATACTTTATTAAAATCTTGTTAACATTAGTTAATGCACTGTGAACTAACATGAACAAACAATGAACAGCTGGATTTGTATTAACTAATGCCGAGTTCAGACTGCATGATTTTAGCCACGATTTTGGCTCGCCGACAGGTTTTGAGAAATCGCCGACAAATGCCCGAAATCACAGGCAAATCGGCGCTCGTTCACGCGAGTGACAATCACGCAGTGTGAATGAACAAAGACGCGAACTGAGAGAATCACAGACGAGTCGCCGACGCCCGTGAGATATTTGGCATGCTAAATATCTGGACCTGTCGGCGATTCAAAATCCTGCTGTGTGAAAAGTGTTTTGACTGAAAACTACATCGGCGATCACCGGCAGCCAGTGAGAGAGCAAGATACAGAGCAGCAGGGAGTTCGGGGAGGAGTTATAGATCACATATCAACATGATATGGCATTGTTTCAACAAAAAAAGCTTCTTCTGGGTCTATTTGGACACAATAAATGGAAGAAAAATTAGTAGAAATTTGGCAGGAGCACTCGTGTCTGTTTCACCAGCTGTACCACAACCGGGTCGAAAAAAAAAAGTCTCACGTGAGAACTCCGGTCTTGCACGTGTGGTGTCGCGCGTTGTTTCCTTTTCATATCTCACGCGTGTTTGTTGTGAAATGTAGTTTGCGTGCAGCGTGCTAGACAGAGTCTGTCGGCGATTTTTCTAAAGTCATGCAGTGTGAAACCTTCTGTCGCCGATCCATCGTCCAGTGTGAACACAGCAGCGACTGAATGCTGGCCAAGATAGTCATGCAGTGTGAAAAGAGCAGCGACCTGACTACTTTGAAAATCGTGCAGTCTGAAAGAGCCATAACGTTAACAAAGATTAACAAAAACAGTAACAAATGTATTGCTCATGGTTAGTTCATGTTAGTTAATACATTAACTAATGTTTAATAAATGAACCTTATTGTAAAGTGTTACCAACAAAACACACTCACACTCACACACACATATATAGAGGGAATGCATTGACGTCACTTTCCCGCCGGAACAACCCCCCTCAGCCTGACTGAGTGGCAAAAGATCTGCTGCGTGACTTGATTTAATAGGGGGAAACTGCGAAAATGCGACTAAAACAAACAATTTTATGAATTTAAACTAAATGTTGGACTCAATATAGTGTTCCTTACAACATACTAAAGATCCAGTGATCCATGGATATTGACATGCAGCCAGGAATCGTGTTGCCTGACATTTATGTTTGCCTGATTTTGACACTGGGGAAATAAAAGCAATATAGACCTACATAAAGCAAATTTGCCTGTGTATTTGTATTTGCTTTATATAAATACAATATAGGTAGGTCTAAATCCGGGTGACCACTTATTGTAGTGTTATATACAGCCTATATATATATATCATCATATCGTCCAGCCCTAAAACTTTATAGTTTTTTTTTTTTTGGTCAGTGTTTATTGAAAAAAAAAACATCCAATAATGCAGAATATGCAATGATAAATATTTAATATATATAACAATACAAAATTGGTTTTACACCTAAATTCAGCATATTGACACAAAATGATAACTGCAAATCCACCTTTCGCTGACTGGAGTCCAGTTGTTTCTGTGAATTGCAGCGATCCATTTACTCATCTTTTTATAGCAGTCTGTAAAAATATACTTCCGATTTTTTGTCAAATCTAGTTGTACAGTCAATCGCAAAGCTCTTTCCCACTTCATATGTGTTGTGTTTGTTTTTTGCGGCATTCACACTGAAAAAAAATACAGCCGCTCAGTCTTTTTGCCACTCACTGTGAGTAACTGCAGACACTCCGGCCGACGGTGACGTCACTTGCATACCCTCTATACAGTATATGAGATGACAAATATTTTAAATATTTTCCCTTTTGCTTTTGTTTGCATTATCACTGCAGATCTACAATGAATTTAGTTATTTTTTTAAGCAATTTAATGAGATTTTTGGGAAAAAAAAAGAAACTATTATAAAAATATTTTTTACTATTAGAAAAAAAAATATTATACTATATTATGGAAACAGCAATATATATATATATATATACACACACACACACACACACACATATATATATATATATATATAAAGTCACTTTTAAAATATATTTTCACACTTAATACATTTTATTTTATTTATATAATGAACATTATTATTATGTTATTGTAATAACTGTGGGGTCTTTAGCATAACTTAAGTTCTCTGGGATGTAAAATATAACTGATCTGATGTCAAGCCTGATGTGCAGCATATTTGTATTTCTGGCAGAGATCAATGTATAAATTTGTGGTGTTTGTTCTTTTTGTATTTGTTTTTTTTAAACTGTGTGCTTCATAATAGAATTAACTTTCACCTAAATAAACGTTTTAAGTGTTTTATTAAACTATCACAGTAGTGCTAATAGTTTATTCACCCACCCTTTCCCATCTTCTCTGCAGTCTGGAGCATCGGAACCTAGAGTTGGAGACAGTGATGGCGAATCTACATGAAGAGCTGGACCAAGAGAAGAAGAAATACACCATGGTGGAGATCAAGCTGAGGAACGCCGAGCGAGCCAAAGACGATGCAGAAAAGAGAAACGAGATGTTGCAGAAAGAGATGGAGCAGTTCTTCTCCACCTTCGGAGACCTGACCGCAGACCCGCGACGGCCCGACAGAGCCAACACCATCTGGATCCAGTGAGTCTTTTCATCCACGCTTGTGAGGACAGTCTATTATTAACTTTACACTGTGTGGGCTGTTCTCTGACAGAACGTGGGCATCTCTTCAGCCGTGTCACCTGTCCGTTCGATTCAAAGGTTTCGACACAGCTGAGCGAAGCCCATTGAGCCAAATTTTCAGAGCTGATTGCGGACCAGTTGTGAGAATGCTGTTGGATTGAATTCATAAAGAAAGATGATGGGATGGTGCAGCTTGGTTAGGTGAAAGATGTTTGTTCTTTCAGACATGATGAAAGGTAAAGTGAAAATGAGTGTCAAACAGAAAGAAGTGGATTCTGACTCTAAATTATGACAGAAAACGTTTGCTCTGAAAGCGAACGGTAAGATGAACTCTTGGCTGTTACAGTTGAATGTGAGAAAACGAATATGAGAATGAACAATGAGTTTTAGATGATGGGAAACTCCTGAAGGACGACAGAACCAGGAACGCCACTCGTATTTCTTCTTGTGATCGAACCAAACGTTTCCTTGAGCTGTCGTGGATCCTCTTGTGTATATAAAGGCGAAACGGTGTTAACAATTCCAAGGTGAAGAAGAAATGTATAAATGCAAATTAAAGTAATGTTTAATGTACGTACTGATATTTAAACAGAATTCTCAATGTGTTACGTATACATTTTATATCAAGGCTTTTCCTTGCACTTACTGTAAGCATACGAGTTGCTGTTGTTTTCAGTATGGTACGAATATGAGACGTGGCAAACCTTTTGAATATCATTCAGTCTTTCCTGTTGCTTTTTTGCATAAATTTATCACTGCAAATAAACATTTTCTTCATCAGTATTAAAAATAATCATTTTTTAAGCATAAATCTAATAATTTAGGGAGGTACAATATACAACTTGTGACCAGCGGTGCAAAAATAAATAAATAAATAAATAAAAAATTATATATATATATATATATATATATATACTTTGAATGATGTCTCAGATAAATTGTAAGGGTTTTAATGTATTTTTATTGGGAAACAACAAAAATACTGATGGAGAAAATGCTTTTTTTTTTTTGCAGTGCATCCCGATGTGACCAAAACCAAGTAGACAAGGAAACCTGTAAATATTGGTAAAAACAGGGCAAACGCTCAGCCTGTCCTTGTCATTTGTACCTGTCGCACATCATTTGCTTTCAGCGGTGCTAGACGAGAGGACGTCTGTTAAAATGAAGACTAAAGACTTGACGATTCAAACCCGATGGGGTTTGTTCATGTCTCGGACCACGTGTCTGTGCGTTCGGGGTCATTTGCCTTGTCACAGCTGTCCATGCTTCTACTGTAGCTTGATGCATTCAGTGAAATGCGATGAAATTAAATTATGTGACCTCATTTAAACTGTCTTTAATTGCCTGGTGTTATTGTATCAGTCGCTGGGGCCGACCACACACGAAAGCTGTGGGTGGTCTGATGTGCACAACCACAAAATGAACGTTATGAATCGATACAGCATGATACAATCGATACAAATGACTATGAAAAATCAATATCCCTCATAGTGAAAATTGTGATTTGCTTTGAAATGGACAATTGTTATAATTCTTAAATGCAACATAAATCACACAGTATGACGCAACAAATGCATGCAACAAAATCATGGGGATATTGACCCGATATTGTTGTTCTTATGCTGGGTGGGCTGTCATCTTTTTCCCCACTTTGGCTGTGGGCGGGACTGTGATGCTCTATAGGCCTACTTTTTAACGAACATCCAGATGCAGTTCAATGCTACTGTGAGCAGATTTTCTGTCCAATCAAATGCTCTCTAAAATCTAAAGCGTCCCGCCCCCTATATTATAAATAGACGCTGAAGCTGCGGCTGTCATTTCATCTGTCATTTTTTTCAAACATTTACTATTTTTTATATGGTGAACTAGTGCACTAATACAGGTGATGGGGAATGATCAGACTATTCAGTAAATATGCTTTCCATTGGGGCGAATGAAGTCTTGTTTCACGTTACGTAAACCGTTTCAGCGCGCGATGGTTCCGATACATTTTTGAAACGTATCAGACTAATTTGATTTCTGCACATATTTTTGCTATATTTGGAAATAGTTGGAGGAGGAAACAGCGAGCTCAACGGCTCTGGTCCAGCCGTGATATAAGCAAAACGCTATTGGCTATTTAAAAAAAAGGGGTGGAGCTGTTCGATATTTCTTCCTGTTTCAGTGTAAATTACGACAACACGTTGAACAATGATGCGCGTTTCAAGGCACTAACTAATCCTTTAACTTTGCTACCCGTAACGTTGCCCCGGTGCACTCTGGGGATTATCATCCTTGTCATTTTTTCCCAGTATGGGTCCGCTTGAATTTAAAGATCCCATAATGTATTTCACCCTGAACCTATTAGAAGACACACCAGGGGGCCTGCGGTCTCCCTCCTCACAACAGCAGCACATAGAGGGAGTCTGGCTCACACACTCTGCACTTTTCTTCACTGCATAATAGGCTTATAGCAGCCGGACAAAGTAAACGCAGCCCGCGGATTCCATTCTGAGCCACAGATGACAGAGAGGGGAGGCATCCAGGAATATTTTCACGCCAAGCTTGATCTGAAGAATACGAACCTCTGGAAGCTGGAGAGAAGCACAGATAATTGAGTGCTTCTCATGCAGGGATCGGCCTTTGTTGGCCAGTCAAGTTTTGTTCCATTTTATAGAACTAAACCAAATGAGATGGAAGTCCACTGTAGGTAACAGAGCTATTGAGATGATAAATATGCTCCAGTCAAGTGTGTGTGTGTGTGTGTGTGTGTGTGTGATCCTGGTATTCCTATATGTTATGTGGACCAGATTTCCTCACAAGTATAATACTTAAGTCTGACGTTGTGGGAACATTTGTTGGTCCCCAGGAGGAAACAAGCTTATAAATCAGACAGAATTATACTTTTGGAAAATCTAAAATAGCAGAAAGTTTTCAGTGATAGGAAGGTTTAGGGGAAGAAGGCAGAATGTTTGTACAGTAATAGTAAAACTACTATGTCTATTGAATGTCCTTGATTATACATAAAAATCATGTTAAAATGTGAGTATCAAATATGATGCATCAGGCTTTTGAGGAACGCTTATTTGTTAAACTCTCAATCATTGTGGTATTACATTGCATTAAATATATTTCTAAGACATATTATTGGGAGATATAGAATGACAACTGATATCTATATGCATTTTATGTAAGTAGTCTCCTATACTGGTATAAAGATCTTATTGATTCATTTTCCAAGAATCAGAATGTCATATTTTTGGCTATTATTTAAAGTGCTCAATCTGGGCCTCTGAATGAAATTGAGGTGCTTTTTTCCTCTTTTGAGCTCCATTCATGTATTCACGTGAGCTATGATGTATCAGAAATGATACTCAACAATATATATATACACATATACACACACACACACACATATGAAGAGTTCAGATGCAAAAGCCTCTAAATGCCATTTGAAATTTTCTTCTTTAATGATGATTTTTATCAAACTTGTATATTTAAGTTCAGTAATTTCACTTAAATAACAATTAATAGGTAATTATCATTGCCATTTAAGTGAAATCATTGAACTTAAATATACAAGCTTGATAAAAATGATCATTCTAGAAGAAAATTTCAAATGGCACTTAGAGGCTTTTGCATCTGAACTCTGCATATATATATATATATATATATATATATATATATAGTGTCTAAATAATTGTATGTACTGTAAATACTCATGTCAGGCTTTACAGGGTTAAATTATCTTTAAAAAAAGTTGCTTTCGCAAACAAATGCTGCAAGTTTTTCTCACAAAGAATTTCACTTTTCATTTTTGCAGTCAATTTTAAATCATCTGGGTGTCAAGGTGATTTATAGGATGTAGATATAGTCCGTTCAACTGAAGTTCACACAGGTGTTCAAGCACAATTATTTTATCATTCAAAACATTAAATCATTTTTTGAAATGTTTAGCTTGAAATGGTCCTAACTGAGTTCCCACACTTGTTCCATGGTCTTTCCAGTCATTTGAATACTGAAAAAAATGCCTATATCAGTAATGATTCATTCAGAGTGATTTTTGAACCAGTTATAGAGTCATTGAGAAGTATGAACTCGAAAGAACAATTTGCGCATGAATTAGACATCACTATGGCTTACGTTAAGTTTAACTCTACATGTCTATCTGAAGAAATATTTTAGAGCTCAATGTGGTTAAAAAATGTGGATTTATTACAGAACCTCCAGGAGATTCATTCCTGGAAAACAAAACGCTCTGATAACAAATTGTAATTAAAAAAGCATAACTTATGTTTTTTTTCTCATTACAGTGATCATGGTTAGTTGTGGGTCACACTCTTTTTTTACAACCCGACTTTGATTTCCTCATCATTTCAACCAAATTACAAGGTCTCATGAAACTACTTTGAAAACGTCTCTGATATTTCCAGGTTTTCCACGTCTACAAGAACCCTATATGGAAACCTGAGCTTGTGCCATGGTACAAACTCCCTGGTTGGCTCATAGATGGTCTGAGAAGAAACATATGCATTGGTAAGGTATTAAAATAAGCAGATATTATGGTGAAGGCTCTGTGTTGAATAACTCATTTATATTCAGGAGTCCTAAATTGAAGACTCTTCAAGCCCAGCTTTGAGAAGGACCGAAAGTACAGATCTGGCTCTCTCTGGATTCTGTGAAAACGGTAAAAAAGAAAGACAAAACGCGAAAAGAACAAAAGAGATGAGAGAAGCTTCTCTCTACCTCCTTGCTTTGAATTGAAAATCAAATCTTGCTTTATTTCTCACTCTTTTAAAACCCTACATTTCTGAACACACACACACACTCTCTCTCCCTCTCTCTCTCAATAATCCCACTCATCATTCCTTAGTGATTCCCAGTGATGTCCGAGTCTTGAATGAATCGTTCATTTGAGCAGGTCCTCAGGAAGTAACCGGTCGAGCAGGTGCGGGGACAAATCAGATCCTCCTTCGAAATCGTGTCTCCATTCGGACCATACCATTACTTTTTACTCTCTTTTTAATAGGCACTCTCCTGATTACAATTCCTACAAAATCATGTTATGATGTTGTTTTAACTACGTTCTAATGACTAAATGTCTGTTTTACCTTATGTACTGAACTAGCATAGCATACAGATACCCAATTAGCCTGATAGGATACACATATTTGCACTTATATACCCATCTTTAATGTTAATGTTAAATGATGTGTTATATCATGTCCAAATATTTCAGTTAACCTATAAAAAGATTGGAATGATATTCAGTTATTCACTTAATAGGCTATTATTAATTAGATTAATTAGCCTAATTAATTCATTAACAGAAGGTCATGTGGTGTTGATATGCTATAAACTCTATCTAATAATAATTTAGACAGCACCTTGCTGTTAATTCAGTTATTATGCATGTTTATGACCTCTACATAGAATATTGATATTTAAAAAAAATCCCCTTTCTCACCATATATAGGAAGATTTAAAATGAACTGATGTCTCAAAGGTAATTAAAAACTAAAAAAACAATCCCATAAAAAGACATTCACCATGTCTATGCCTAGCTTAGAAGGCATGTGACTTCAAGAACAGATGACAATTCATTTCAAGGTCAAAGGAGTTTATTTTCAGTCACATATTTATATTACATACAGAGTACCTTTAAAATGTCGGGTGGTAACAGCAATTCATAGTGCTGTTTAAATCTTTAAGTTTTATTTTTATTTTATTTTTTTCCCCCAAACCATCTCATTTTATCTTGCATTTGAATAATTTGATTCGATCATCAGCCTGGAGCAGGTGGTGTGAAAATGGCGTTAGATGTCAAAAAGAACCACAGCCTCCATCTTAAACTCTTAACAGAATGGCTCACCGACAGC